CCGCAAGTTTATTGTTTTCTGTTTAGTATTAAATTTAAAATTAAGATCCATTTATTACATCGGTGATCCGTTTATTTGGCAATCGCCAATGGCAGTCAGCAGGGTTTAAGAACATCAGTTCTTCGACCTGTTAGTCAAATGCGTTTTGTTAAAAAATACTTTTTCACTTTTCTGGTCTTTTGGAAAATGTTGTTAGTGCAGTATTTAGACCCCTCTATCAAGAAATTTGTTTTGCATGCACACGTATAAAAATTGCGGTTTTTATCCAACGCAATCATAGGTTTGAATGTTTATTTCAATTATGACTTGCTTTGAATATATATATATATATACCACTTTTGAGTCTCCTTGTGTTATTTTTTGATGTATTCGAGACAATCGAATTTTACAATTTGTATGTTATGTTTCTTAATTCTGGCTATGCATTTATTGGAAATGTTTAAATTTTTGCACTGTGTTTTGACCTTGGATTTGATTACTCTATTTGTATAAGGGTCATTAATTTTGATCGTTTGCTTTACATCCAGTGGCAAATGTTTCATGCATGTTCATGCTTAGAACAAATTAACAAAGAGTACACTAGGTATTATCAGACCCCTCACAATTTTTGTAAGGGCTCTTATAATATGCATAGCGTTACACTATTTCCACACAATGCAATCAGAGGTGCCGGCGTATTTACACATCCAACAGTCTATGGAAGACCCACTTTGCGGCAAGGGTTTTACTGATTGGACGAACAAAGTCCAAAGAATGACCTTAAATCTATACCTTAATCAATCCTTAGGGTAGATATCATTTAGAGTAGAATTAACAAGATGATGTTTAAAAAGGATGATGACGACTGACACCTAGTGGTGCCAATAGCTCACATAACCGTAAGTGTAATATGAGGACTCATTATTTCCTTTCAAGCACCTGATTTTATATGATGTTGAACTTATTCAGGAAGTAGGGAAAACTGTTGCCAATTTTTTTCTCGGAGGAGTTTTTTATAATTGTTGATGTGGTTTGTGTTCATGTGCAATATGTTCTGTGATTTTTGATATATCAAATACGTTTGTATATATAGTGTAAAATGAGAACTAGATAATTTGACGAAAAAAAAAATTCTAAGACATGAAAAGCGAAAGTCTACTTCTGACTGAGTCAACAGTCTAAAGAGTTTCATTTCATGACCAATAATTGCTTCTTTTACTTTAAACTTAAACTGTTATCTAATAAAGTTATTATCTATTATTATTATAGGATTTATAAAAGAGAATTTGAAAGTACAAAGAGTAAAAGAAATAAATGCAATTCAAACGGTATCATAGCCAAGTCCGTGAATTGAGGTGCTTTGTCGTATAAAGCAAAAAAAAAAAACAACGTTGCACAGCGAAAACGTTCCACATGGCGAAAAGTCCTTCATGTTTTTACCTTTCTGTATGGACAAGATGAATAAAATGGAAATTTTTTATTTTTTCAAATGTTATAAAGGCTCAAGTTAATCGAATCTCCGAAATTTGGGTGGAAACAGAAGGACCTTGTTGTCTATATCGATAATGTCAAGGTAATTTTATATTAAAGGGAGACAACAATTTAAGATAAACAACGACGGAATGGCAAAATACAGATTAAAATACCTTCAAAATCACAGACAGCTTGCACATTAATGCTGTGGTACCCCTTTCGGTTAACATAGGATGTTTCGTCATCTGATGGTGACTGAATCCTCACATGCGTGCAGTCAATACACCCCAAAACATTTGGAAAGTTACATTGCCTGTAGAAACCACATTTTATCCTATTAATGGAATCTACATCTGTAGGCCAACACACAACACAAAATCATCCTTAATTTCAATAAGGGCATCTGTCACATCACTAACAACACGGGAAACCGTTTCTTTATCATAGCCTAAAGTATCTCCTATCACCTGCAAGAAGGAGCCGGATGCATAGAAACGGAGTGCAATGCATACTTGCTGTTCAACGGTCAGTGCTGTTGATTTGTTGGTGGACCTGCTTAGCCTGTCTGGGAGTAGATTGCTCAGGTATGCAATAGAGTCCTTTCCAAATCTATACCTCCTCAGTTCATCATCATTTAAATTGGTTAAATGAGAAATAGTTCCCCTAAAAATTCTGTTCTTCCATGGTCTTGCTGGTAGCATCATGAAAGCAGCCATTTTCTAATTATACCTTGGTTAAATGTTAAACCTACCAGCGTTAAACAACATCATCACGTTAAAACTAACTATGAGATGAACAACAGGATTAACGAGACGTTAAATTTTATCGATACGTTAGCAAAATTTAACGGAGCGTTAGTGCTAACGACAAGTTGAACAACCGGCCCCAGATGGTCTGGTCCATTTGTAGTAGTAGATGTTTTGAGTCCTATACGTTTTAAAACAAGAGGCTCTCAAGAGCCTGAATCGCTCACCTGTAATTTTTTGCTTAAATCTTTCATCAATGATTTTTTGCTTTTTAATATATATTAATGAGTGGCTTAAAAATATCCTTCAGATGTTCTTTGTATCTGTCATATTTTCTTCAAAAGCAAAGAAATACATTTTACCCCTATGTTCCATTTAAGCCATAGTGGCTATGTTTCTTGAAGTACAAGATTGATTGATTGATTGTTGGTTGCTTAACGACCAGTGGCAAATATTTCATGCATATTCAGGACGAGAACAAATTAACAATAAATACAATAGGTAGGTTCTGTAATAGGGGCTTCCGGGATTAAGGTCGGAGAAATTTAGACTGCCACAGGAAATGAGGATATATTGGATAGGGACAGAAATTTAGCCTTGCAACAGGTCACCTACGGACTCCTCAAAGAGTTGTTGCAAGGGTTCTTAACGTGCAAAGAGCGTGGCACTCTCTTTACACGAGGCATCGGATTTAACGTCCCCATTCTGACCGGACGTGACTGCGAGTTTGTACAGCCAAACGGACGCCCCACTTTAGCGAGGGTTTTACCGCCGGTCGGAGGAAGACCAATGGTGACCATATTTCTATTCCCCGTTCACCCTTGGGGGTGAAGTACAAGAAAATAAAATACAAAATTTATACTAGATACTCTGAAACTCATTCAGCCCATGTTTGGCTGAAATTGATTCACCAGTTTCAAAGGAGATTTTTTAAAGTAAGCAAGCTAGATGAACAAATTGTGAAAAATTGTCTTTAAAGGGCAATAACTCATTAAGGACACATTTGACAATTTTGGTCATATAAACTTATTTGTAGATCTTACTTTGCTGAACATTTTTGCTGCTCACAGATTATCTTTATCATTAATAATATTCAAGATAATAACCAAAAACTGCAAAATTCCTTAAAATTACCAATTTAGTGGTAGATATGGACTTGACCACCAAAACTTAACCTTGTTCACTGATCCATGAAATGAGGTCGAGGTCAAGTGAAAACTGTCTGACGGGCATGAGGACCTTGCAAGGTACGCACATACCAATAATAATTATCCTATAACTTATAATAAGAGAGAATTTAACATTAAAAAATATCTTAACTTTTTTTTCAAGTAGTCACTGAACCATGAAAATGAGGTCATAGACATTGGACATGTGACTGACGGAAACTTCGTAACATGAGGCATCCATACCTTCCACCTTCTAAAATATAAACCTTTTAAGAAGTTAGCTAACGCCGCCGCCGGATCACTATCCCTATGTCGAGCTTTCTGCGACTTTTTCGCAGGCTCGACAAAAAGGAGTTCTTAATTAAGAAATAAACTGATTCGCTGAGCGCAGCTGGATACACCCGCAGAGGTCCAACCCTGAACAGTTGGGGCAAAAATGGACACAATATTCAAGCTTGATACAGGTCTGAATTTGGATTGTAATTAAATATTTGACATATTATAGTTTCTTGATAAATGTAGTCAAAGAACTTGAAATCGGTTATATGAATTGAATTTATATTCATTTGAAGATTTCTTGCTGTTGTGCAATACACTGTGCTGTTGCGCAATACTTAATAAATCTGTTGTCAGACTATAAACAAATAAAGTTCAATTTCTTCTCAATGTCATATTTGAAATTTATGAAAATCAATAGGGAGATTACATCAATAGCTATAAATAATTCACCAAAGTTTCATGCGAACTGCTTAAAGTATTTTTGAGTTGTCCAAAAACTGGAAAATTCCCCCTCTTTTAATGAATAAAACCCCATAACTCAGAAATGTAAAATCTAAAATTTATAAAATTCTAAAGGGAGCTTACGGATTGATAATTTAGTCTTCGATGCAAGATTTTTTTAATCAGTTGTTAGTGGCTTTGAACTAGCTGTCAGTAAATGAGAGTACTCTCAGATCTGTACTTAGTGTCTTCTTGTTGTTTGGATGTACAACTACCCGGCCACGTCCACTTGTATTTATCCATCTGATGAGTTAAGCCTCTTTCAACTGATTTTTATAGTTCGTTCTTATATTGTACCGTTACACCACTGTCCCAGGTTAGGGGTGGGTTGGGATCCCGCTAACATGTTTAACCCCGCTACATTCTGTATGTACATGTATGTGCCTGTCCCAAGTCAGGAGCCTGTAATTCAGTGGTTGTCGTTTGTTTATGCGTTGTATATTTGTTATTCGTTCATATTTTGTACATAAATTAGGCCGTTAGTTTTCTTGTTTGAATTTTTTTACATTGTCATTTCGGGGCCTTTTATAGCTCACTGTGCGGTATGTGCTTTGCTCATTGTTGAAGGCCGTACTGTGACCTATAGCTATTAATTTCTGTGTCATTTGGTCTCTTGTGGAGAGTTGTCTCATTGGCAATCATACCACATCTTCTTTTTAATCTCACTTCTCCAAGAAGTTGACCACTTCTCCCTTCTCTCTCATGGAAGGAGAAGTCACTTCTCCCTCTTCAAAATCCTAGATTAGGCCCTGAGGTGAGACAACAAAACTTAGTTGTAAGATCTCTGAAATTTTTTACACAGTACTAGTTTTTCTCATTGTTGGAGATTGTACGGTGACAGTAACACCTGTAACTGCTTAACCCATTTCTTATGCACTCTGGTTCGATAAACTCACTGAATATCATACCACATCTCCTTATTTTTATATGCAGTTGGTGGTGGACAGTCATAAATCCTGTCTGCAGTATGAATGACTTCTTCAGGAAAACCAACTTTACAATCAAAACTTTCCTCTAGATTTCTACTACAATATTCATCAAGTTTAGTTCTTTTGTTTTCACAGGAAACTGCCCTGATTTTTCTTTTTGCGGACGATTCAGTCTCTTGCTTGGTCCAGAAAAATAGGCTTGGAATGGCAGTAGACTTAAGTCTCTGTATGGTGGGTTTGCGCCCTGAAAAAGGTTATAAAACATTAATTTTTTGATAATTTAATGAACTTCCATTAGCATGCATACTTGTACTACCTGGCAAAATATTAACTAGATTTATTCATTACAATCTGGATAAAACTATATTTGCCTGATTCAATGTATGTTATGTAAATCCAAAGGACAAACAATGAGAGACTTATGCAACAAACGTACATTGTTTGTACCTAAATAACTATAATAAAGATGAGAGCATGTCATTGTTTTGTTCCTGTTAACATTGTCATTGATATTTTTCAAAGAAAGTCTATGAGGCATAGCTTATGCATTCCTGTCATTACTACATTAGCATAATTACTGCTAAAATAATTCTCAGTATGATATACCTCTTGTAAGAAATCATTATAATTGTAGCAAGCACCAAAAAATCTCAAACAGATCACATTGAATCGTAATCCAAAAAATTAGGACGTCTTGAATTATTGATTGATTGTTGGTTGCTTAACGTCCAGTGGCAAATATGTCATGCATATTCAGGACGAGAACAAATTAACAATAAATACAATAGATAGGTTCTGTAATAGGGGCGTCCGGGATTAAGGTCGGAGAAATTTGGACTACCACGGGAAATGAGGGTATATTAGATAGGGACAGAAATTTAGCCTTGCAACAGGTCACCTACGGACCCCTCAAAGAGTTGTAGCAAGGGTTCTTAACGTGCAAAGAGCGTGGCACTCTCTTTACACGAGGCATCGGATTTAACGTCCCCATTCTGACCGGACGTGGCTGCAAATTTGTACATCCCGCACAGTCAAACGGACGCCCCACTTTAGCAAGGGTTTTACTGCCGGTCGGAGGAAGACCAATGTGACCATACTTCTATTCCCCAGTCACCCTTGGGGGTACGTCTTGAATTAACCACCCCCTTTTATTCTAAAACGATAATTGCGGTTGTAAACAGACTTTGGTTTATTCGCATGGCGATTACATATATAACTATATATTTTAAAAAGAAAATAGAGTTTTACCAAGAATAGTTTCCTTCACGTAGTCTTTTTCAGTAAAATGTGCCTTGCAAACAACAGCTGATTGAGATGGACTCCACGATTTCATCGTGTTCTCGTCCAATCTGCGTATGGGCCATGGCGTTGATCCAACTTTTCCTTCTTTTTAAGTCATTTGGAAATGCATGTCCTCCTCTTAAATGACATCCAGGTACACAACAACAAGTACTTGGCATCGTTAATTAAAAATGCAACTGTAATAGTTGCACAGTTGCACAGTGCAGAAACCGGAAGTTTAAGAACAGGATCGGCTACCACGGCGCCCCCTTTTCAGGAACGATAATTTGCTATAACTGCGAAATAACAATAACGTTAGACGGGTTCACGTGCATTAACAGAAATGCGCTTTAAATTGTATAATTTAATTCATGTTCAGTCGACCTTTTATTATTATATCAACGACTGAAATGATTTATAAACATCTAGATTTCAGATAACACTCGAAATTAACCCGACATCTTTCCACGCGGAATTCAAATAATTCTAGTTTGTCAATCGATTGACTGCTTATAATGCAAAATACAAATATATCAAAAGTTTTTAAAACTAACAAAACACAATGATCGTTTCTCCATTTCCCAATGTAAATGAAATGAAACAAAAAAACATTTTATATCACAATAAGAAGAGGAGAGAATCAACATTTTCCGGATCTACTTGGAGCCTAATGACCCCCCACGTAGATAAGTTGGATATCGCGGAAAGAAAGATTAACACGGCAACTAGAAAGGCATTAAAGCACTGCCTTTAAAAATGACACAGAAATTAACAACTTTAGGTCACCGTATGGCCTTCAACATTGAGCAAAGCCCATACCGCATAGTCAGCTATCAAAGGCCCCGAAATGACAATGTAAAACAATTCAAACGAGAAAACTAACGGCCTTATTTATATATATGTTTGTATTTGACAATTGGTAATGATATTCAAGCTTATCGCTCGTTGATAGGTCAATTCTACTGTAGACTTAGTTCAATATTCTGTAGTAAAATGTTGTATTTAAGAAAAAAGACACACCTATTTATTTGAACTGTTCTTCCTTATTATGAAATGCGTCGGTACTATATTCTGTATATCTTGAACCTTTTTTTTTTAAATGTTAACATTTGTGATATTATTAATGATGATGATAAGTAATGATGTAGAGAAAAATCCTGGTCCTTTGTGTGGTATTTTCTCTTATTTTCACCTAAACATTAGAAGTATGCACAATAAAGTAGACTATGTTGAAAGTATATGTAACGAAGCCGATGTGATTTGTTTAACCGAAACGCATCTTGACGAAAATATAACAACTAAAGATATTATCATTGAGTGTTATAATAGAGATCCTTATAGTAAATTTATTCAAGTCTAACCAAGACCTTATTTGGATTTGGATAAAAAAAGAACTCAACTTACCTTCACATAAACTACTCCTACTATGGGATGCATATGTAAATGACTGCTTGCTTTCCTGTAAAACAAATGGCAATGACTATTCATTAGACAGAGAGTATATGAAATGGGGTGAGACACGATATAAAGCAGTGCATGCAAAACTTTCACATATATGCCTATTGGACCAAGACTTTCAAGGATTTTTGGTAGTGACAATATATGCAAGACTCTGTATTCCAGACAAGATCTATGCAATGGAGAGCTAACAGACAGTGTTGACGGAAAGATATACAAATCTTGGTATGAAGATGGAGGTGTTTTTCAGAACATAGAGGAAAGTTGTATGGTTCCTTTGGCACTTTTTTGTGATGGGCTTAATCCACACAAAAGTATGGCAACTCAAAAATCAATGTGGCCATTAATCCTCACCTGGCTCAACTTGCCCGTAAATATCAGAAATATTTTAGGACCAATGATGTTGATTGACATTGTACCTGGTACCAAGACAGAAGAGCCAAAAAACCTAGATCCATACCTGGACCTTTTAGTGGATGCAATGCTAGAACTGACAGATTGCACAATGTCTAATGCCTACAGAGGAACCCTACATCAGTCCGAATAGCACTCCTGCATTACATGTGTGATATTCCCGCATTCAGCAAGATTTTGCATGTTTCAAGCCAGGCTGCACTCCGTGGTTGTCCTTATTGTAAAGAAAAAGGATATTTAGTAAATCATTACCCAAAGTTGTTCACATCAACAATAGAGCTTTTCTACCAGAAAATCATCCATTGAGAGGGGAAAAGATTGACTTTGCTATCAAAGGAGAGGACAGAACAACGAAACCCAGAGTCATATACAAAAGAAGAATTAGAAATCAGAAACAATTATGATGAGCTTCCAAATCAAAATAGAAAATCTCTTCTACAAAAAAAAAAAAGGACTTCAAAAGAAAAATATAGTTTCATGAGACTGCCTTATCATAACCGTCAAGAACAAATGCATCCTGATGGAATGCACACCATTGCAGATGTAATTGACAATCTCTTTGGCCTCATAACTGGAAAAGATGATGGGGAAAAGGAAAAAAATAGTTAACAGAAACCATAGACTCAGGAAAAGAACTAAAAGTACCGAATTAATAAAAGTTAACAGATAACCATCTTGCAGAAAAAATATGTTAACAACAGCTAGAATCAGTCAATTAAAAATGGAACTATGTCAGAGTAAAATTTTGAACAGAGATTTCAATATGGTTTCTGACCCTGTTACTGTAAATCTTTTTTTTTTATAATTATTATCATCTTACAGATTATGGAAGAGTACAAAGGATATATTCACCTTTGGGTAAGCTCTGCAACTATGGGGGTAATAGGTCCAACCATTGATGGAAAATTTCATTAGAATGGAGATCATAGAAACAATTAGACAACCATCCAAAGTTGAAAGTAAATTTTAATCTTAATAAAATAATAAAATTTACAAGTATAAAACAATAAACAATGAAATACCTATGAAAAACCTTATAATCATCACATCATCAAGCTCCTTTTTTTCTTCCATGTTAGTGTAAGTTAATCAAAAATTGAAAAAAAATCTATGACCGTATGTATCATAATTGTTAGATTTGTTATAGAGAATAGGTATTCATTCAGATAATATATATATACAGTTAATCTATATGTAGGACTTGGATCCATTGTGGGTTCCAGATCTATTCCCGATTTTCGATGTACGCAGTTATCGAATCAGAATTAAGTTATCGTCCTTCTAAGTCGCTATGACCACTTCCGCCTAATTATACACTTTTAAACCGAAGTGACCACAGTACCAATAGTGCATATAAAATTATTTCTTTTACTGATTTTAAAGGCCCTTCATGTTTAGATATTAGATGGAAAGATTTCAGATGGTGCAGAGAGCGTTTAAGGATGGTATATGATAAGATCGTGGTTACGTCCGGATTGATGTTTAAATGAACAGTACATGCAGAGATTGGATGATATCTATACGTGCCTGCTTCCACCCATTACCCGATATCCATCCATGTATATCTACCAGCAAAGGCAACTTATACAAAATGATATGGCAGGGAGACAAATTATGTTCTTTTAGATGTACTATGGTATGACTTCCGGTCCAGGTAAACGAGATCAAGTTTATTTTCGCGGCGCTTGATAGACAGAGATGCTTTACAGCGGGATGAAAATCATAACTCCAGAGAATAAATGACTAAAGACACCGTTATGATGAATAGTAATATCGAGCACGTGGAAGAACCTCGTGATGATAGTAGTGGCGAGTGGACCGCTATTGTCGTTTAAAGCATTATTCTTTCAAGAAAAGAAGAAAAAGCAGATACGAAATTTTGGAAGAAAAGAACAGTTAGTGGGACAATGTAAATGAAGTATTTGATAAAATGTTCAGCATGTTTCAAGCTGGGAATTGTGCCTTAAATGGCACCAAATAATCCGAGGCTAAGGGTCAGTCACGAAGACAGCCTGAAGTTCATACAAAACACTAAGTTTCCGAGAAGATTGATTGATTGATTGTTGGTTGCTTAACGTCCAGTGGCACATATTTCATGCATGTTCAGGACGAAAACAAGTTAACAATAAATACAATAGATAGGTCTTGTCATAATAGAGGCCATCCGGGATGATGGTCGGGGAAATTTGGACTGCCACTGGAAAATGAGTGTATTTTGGATAGGGACAGAAATTTAGCCTTGCAACAGGCCTCCTACGGACCCCTCAAAGAGTTGTTGCAAGGGTTCTTAACGTACAAAGAGCGTGACACTCTCTTTACACGAGGCATTGGATTTAACGTCCCCATTCTGACCGGACGTGGCTGCAAACTTGATACATCCCGCACAGCCTAACGGACGCCCCACTTTGGCAAGCGTTTTACTGCCGGGAGTCGACCAAGTGACCAAATTTCGTTTCCCCAGTCACCCTTGGGAGGTTTTCGAGAAGAAATATCAGATAACGAATACAAAAATTCGTATGACAACATTTCTATAAGACCTAGAGACGATGCTCATTTAGGTTATAGTGACAATGAGTCGGGCACAGAGTAGGCTGATGAAGAAGACTCGTCAGAAGAGGCAAAACAAGTGTTTATATTATCTTTTTGGTGATGGGCCTCTTCACATTTAGCAACTAATTCATGATTCAAAAGAAGTCGTCAGCAAATGTCAAAAGTAACATTGGAATACATGCTCACCTATACTTGTGGTATGTTTTTTTTATATAAATAAAGCCTTTTCATAATACTTAGGTACACTGTCTTAACATATTGTTAACCTCAACTGTTTGTTTATTAGAAAATTTGAAATTCTGTTAACTGACAAACAATACCATGTACATTGCCACATATTTTTGTGTTTCATGCCAGTTTTTTAACTATTGATTGATACATTGTTTGTATATAAACTTATTTTGCCGAGTTACCAAATGATGACATGTTTTACTAGACATTGTTGACGTGTTAAATGATGGTCTTACTTTAGAAGACAGCACTGTGTTTATTTAGCGTGGTATACTAGTCCCCGATGAATACACACCTTACCTATTCCGCAAAGGTACACCAGAATCCTCTATTGATATATCAAAAAGCCTAGTATATATATATATTTCAATTTAGACTTGTTTATATATATATAGACATCCTGTCACAAGTTTAAAATCAAAGTGCATAGATTTCTCACAATACCTTAATGCCAGAAATTGTTAAGACAACATTATCATGAAAGAGGTTACCATAGCCATATATTAAAGCGTGTAATAACATCATCAAGGGAATGTGGATATCCAAAACTGGATCCAGAGCCATTCGACAAAAGTTATATCAAAATTCAAGTCTACATGATACATT